AAACTCTTCAGGCATTATAGGAGAAAACTCAGAGCTGTTATCTTGGGAAAAGGATGTTGCAATAATTGGGTGCCGGTAATTGTGGTCAACATGAACTAGAGAAAGCATTTATTTCACAATGAGATTTTCACCCCACTTTCAATTGTTTTACTTCAATGATAGGTTAGAATTTTGTGAATTTTTTGAATGAAAGATCAAAAGGATAAACAATGCAGATTTATTTTCACAGCAGCCTTTGCTCATATTTACCAAGAGTGCCAATATTAGTGGAGGGCACTGTATGTGTGTGTTTGTGTGTGTGTATACTGTATATACACAGCAGCAAGTGAACAGTCAGTTCTTGAATTTCATGTATTGGAATCAGGAATAATGGGCAAATGAATAGATCTGAGCGACATAGACAAGTGCCAAATATTGATGGTTAGACAAATGGGTCAGAGCATCTCCAAAACGGCAATTCTTGTGGGGTGTTCCCGGTATTTAGTGGTTACCTACCAAAAGTTGTGCTAGGAAAGACAACCGGTAAACCAACTTCAGGATTAAAAATGCCCAAGGCCCCATTGTAGATAGGGAGCGAAAGCTAGCCTGTCTGGTCCGATATCACAGGAGAGCTATTGTAGCTAAAAATGCTGCAAAACTAAAAGCTGGTTGCAGTTTGGTCCGGATGGGCCTGCGTAGCCGGGGTCAGAGTCCCCACGACGCCTGAACTGAACCATAAAGCAATGGAAGAAGGTAGCCTGGTCAAATGAATCATGTTTAGATCAGTTAGATGGCCGGGTACGTGTGCGTTGTTTACCTGGGGAAGAGATGGAAGGAGGATGCACTAGAAGGCGGCAGATTGGTGGACGCATTGGATTGCTCTGGGCAATATTCTGCTGAGAAACCTTGGGTCCTGGCATTCATGTGGATGTTACTTTGACAAGTACCAACTACCTAAAGACTGTTGCAGATCACGTACACCCATAGTGTTCCCTGAAGGCAGTGGCATCTTTTAGCAGGATAATGCACCCTGACACACTGCAAAAATGGTTTAGGAATGGTTTGAGGAACACAAAGCGTTCAAGGAGTTGCCCTGTTTTCCGAATTCCCAATTGAGCATCTTATGTGCTGGACCAACAAATCCAATCCAAGGAGACCTCACCTTGCAAACGTATAAGTTTTAAAGGATCTGCTGCTAATGTCTTGGTGCCAGACACCACAGGACACGTTCTGAGGTCTTGTGGAGTCCATGCCTTGACGACTCAGAGCTGGTTTGGAAGCACAAGGGGGAATTATATGATATTAGGCAGGTGGTTTTAATGTTGTGGCTGATCAGTGTATATTTATATATTGTTTATCCTCTTTACTGACAGAAGGGCTACTGTATGCAGTAGATCAGCTCACGGAGGTGACTCAGATTGTCCTCTCTATCACAATAGCTGCATACTGCTGCAAGGTGATTCCTTGCTGCACTCCCAGATCTCATGTGGTAAGTAACACTCATTTCATATATCTGTCGATGCTGGTGAGCAGTATGAATGATGCACAGTTCTCGACTGTAAACCGTTTCTGTCTTTTTCAGCCTGTCATCGTTATGACGCCACCCACGACAGTGCAATGAAAGTGGAAGTGTGTGCATCTAAAAACAATAATACTAATAAAACTCAATTTTAGAACACATTATTAAATACTAATACAATACTAATACCATAGTCAAACATATCACTAATATACAGTGGGGCAAAAAAGTATTTAGTCAGCCACCAATTGTGCAAGTTCTCCCACTTAAAAAGATGAGAGAGGCCTGTAATTTTCATCATAGGTATACCTCAACTATGAGCGACAAAATGAGAAAAAAAAATCCAGAAAATCACATTGTAGGATTTTTAAAGAATTAATTGGTAAATTCCTCGGTAAAATAAGTATTTGGTCACCTACAAACAAGCAAGATTTCTGGCTCTCACAGACCTGTAACTTCTTCTTTAAGAGGCTCCTCTGTCCTCCACTCGTTACCTGTATTAATGGCATCTGTTTGAACTCGTTATCAGTATAAAAGACACCTGTCCACAACCTCAAACAGTCACACTCCAAAAACTCCACCATGGCAAAGACCAAAGAGCTGTCAAAGGACACCACAAACAAAATTGTAGACCTGCACCAGGATGGGAAGACTGAATCTGCAATAGGTAAGCACCTTGGTGTGAAGAAATCAACTGTGGGAGCAATTATTAGAAAATGGAAGACATACAAGACCACTGATAATCTCCCTCGATCTGGGGCTCCACGCAAGATCTCACCCCGTGGGGTCAAAATGATCACAAGAACTGTGAGCAAAAATCCCAGAACCACACGGGAGGACCTAGTGAATGACCTGCAGAGAGCTGGGACCAAAGTAACAAAGGCTACCATCAGTAACACACTGCACCGCCAGGGACTCAAATCCTGCAGTGCCAGACGTGTCCCCCTGCTTAAGCCAGTACATGTCCAGGCCCATCTGAAGTTTGCTAGAGAGCATTTGGATGATCCAGAAGAGGATTGGGAGAATGTCATATGGTCAGATGAAACCAAAATAGAACTCTTTGGTAAAAACTCAACTTGTCGTGTTTGGAGGAGAAAGAATGCGGAGTTGCATCCAAAGAACACCATACCTACTGTGAAGCATGGGGGTGGAAACATCATGCTTTGGGGCTGTTTTTCTGCAAAGGGACCAGGACAACTGATCCGTGTAAA